AAGATGCTCGGTACGTGCTAATGAACAACCGCACGTCATTTGGTTTCTCAAGCTTTCACTACAGAAATATAATACTTGAGGATAAAGGCAACCGTGTCTCACATATTATGGGCACTCAAATATTTGTTTAATGAATGGGGAAAAAAAAAAGGGGACAGGTTTTGCAGGATACATTTTTGTATTCATTGTTCCAGAGAGCACAGCAAGGAAAGGTAGAAAGCAAGCAGCAGCCTACATCTTCAAACCATTTTTTTTTTTTTTAAGATTTTGTTTATTTGAGAGACAGTGAGCGAGCCAGAGAGCACAAGTTGGAGGAGGGGCAGACAGAGTGGAAGAGGGAGAAGCAGGCTTCCCGCTGAGCAGAGAACCCAATGCGGGGCTTGATCCCAGGATCCTGGGATTATGACCTGAGCCAAAAGCAGACCCTTAACCGACTGAGCCACACAGGAGACCCATCTTCACATTTCTAATATCCATACCACTGCATAAAACAATGCGGGGCAGAGGGTTTACCTAGGTGGAGGTTAACAGCATGAATGAAAGTTTTAAGGTAGGAAGGGACTTAGAACAGCCCAACTATGGGAAGAATTAATTGAGGGAAGGAAAGGAAAGGTTCAAGATTATTTAGTTTGGAGCCTACTGCAGTGAAAAACCATGGTGGCTTGGGTCAGGGTGGAGCAGTAGAAACAAAGGAGTAGACAATTTCAAGATACACTTAAGAGATAAAAAAAAGCAGTAGGGCCTGGAGACTGAGCGAGCACACACAACTCCCAAGTTCTGACCTGAGCAACGAGATGGACAGAAGTGTGACTTACTGAGGCAGGCTTCCCTAGACAAGCAGAGGTGGAGCAGGTGTGGAGAGCATGAGCTCATCACTAAATGGCCGTTATATTCCCAAGTAAAATCTCAGAGAGGTTATGTAATTAGGTGATCAAAACATGTTCAGGCCTTAGACATATACATAGGCATCTCCAGAGATGATATTTAAAATCATAGGCATGGATGTAATTTTCCTTAGGAGAAAGCACAAGAAATTCTATCAATTCAAATCACTGGAAAAAATGAAAATATGTAGAGATCAGAAGAGTAAGAACTATTGAAGAACAGGGAAAAGCAGTGAGCCAGGAAGGTACAAGGAAAACCAGCAAAGTACACTGCTATGGAAGTGAAAGAAAGCACATTTCCATAGGGAAAAAATAGTCAAAGTCACAAGAATATTGAAATAAGGATACTGATGACACCTGGTCAGCCATAAAAGCTCATTGAACCTATAACATAGATTGTATTTTCAGACTATTTTACTATGAAATAGTGCAGTGCAGTAATTAAATATGCAGGCTCCAGATCCACAACATCCAGGTTTAAACCCTGGTTCCACTACTTACTAGCTAAATGGCTGTAAGTATACTAACTTGATTATACTTGTAATTAGTATATACTTAATGTCTCTGTGCCTTAGTTTCCTCATTCATAAAAGGCAAGCAAAAATAATACCTACCTCAAAGAATTGTTAACATTAAGTGTGTGTGCGTGTGCATATACTCATCAATTAAAATAGTGGCTAGCACAAATTAGTCCAGTAAACGATAGCTTTTATTACTCACAACACCGCTTCTATGGGAAGATATTTTCTGAACAAAAGAAGTTTGTTTGAAATAACTTTTCACTAATTTGAGACTGTCTCTATTCCCCATAAATTGTGATCTTACAAGGTCTTTTTCCAAAAGCCTTGAGGGAAACTAGACTTAAAACTCACTCAAAAAGGCCTTAATGTAGTAGCTGACCAGTTTGTTTTTGTTTTTCTAAGAGAGAGAACAAACCTGGGTTGGGGGCGATAGGCGGAGGGAGAGAATCTTAAACAGGCTACTCGCCCAGTTCGAGCCCGACTCAGGGCTCCATCTCATGATTCTGAGTTCATGACCTGAGCTGAAATCAGGAGTTGGAGGCTTAACTGACTGAGTCACCCAGGTGACCCAGTAGTTGACCAGTTTTAGAGAAGCTACTAATTTTTTTGTTGTTTTTTGGAGGGGTATCTACCCCACTCATTACACATTCATACTATGATCAGAAAGAACTTATCTATTAGAAAATTTGAAAAACTGGCATGGAAAAAATGGACTATTTCAAGTGACAAAGTTATAAAAACAGATAAAAATCTACTTCAAATAAAGTATTATTTAGTCACTTTTTGGTGCATAGTCAAATACAAACACATCTATCATCACTATGATGAAACAGCCTCTCGATGTTCTTTGCAAGATATAAATAACAGGTAGAGAAAAGGAAGATCTGCAGCTTCCTGACGATCATCTTATTTCCAAAAGTATGCAAAGGTATTAATAGTATCTCAGCCCCATCAAAAGTATTTCCAACTGCATGGTGATAGGCAAAGATATGCCCATTCAGTCCCTAAAATTAACTGAGAAGAACACAAATAAATGGAGATTTATGAGACCAATTTTTATCCCTGAATTTCCTGTTGATTTAACGAGTACTATTTCAGAAATATTCAGAAAACTCTATACGCCCTATGGTAAGATGCTGGGAGTTTCCCCTTAGCTCTTAATTTTTTAATTGTTAATACAACAGAAATACCTAATACCTGATGGAACTCTTATACCAAAAAAGTATTAATTTCAAAGTAATGAGAAATTGTTTGCCATGTTCTTTCCCCATCAACTAATGAAAATACTCCATTTCAGGACCAAGCAAAGACACAAAGTAGGGACATGTCAGTAACAACAGAATGTCATTACCATCTGTTAGCTTCTGAATAGGTTACTGGAAACAAGGTGACAGACAGGCTAATTCTTTATGGATAAGTATCCATATCACATCATCACAACTAGTACTCATTTGCACCTTCAAGAAGAAACTGCCACAAAGGGGAACAAAAACATTCAACTGATATATGAATTATGAAAAAGCTTTCTAAAATGTTATAAAAATATGAACGGGCTTCTAAAAATGCAGAATACTTAAAGATTTACAGGCCATATTTCAGATTCAGTATTTTCTATACAACTGAAATGAAAGAGGACATTTCACAATTTGAAGAATAAAATGAGGTACAGTTAAGAAGTGTGTGTAGCCCTGTACAGATGGCCTGATCCTAACACAAGATGTTAACAAAGCAAGTTGGTGGGGGAGGGGGAAAGCCTGCATTTTTGATGCTAAAATTTAGTTAACTCCACCCCCAAAATACATATTTTTTAAGGGGGGGGGGCTTAGCATTTAAGAATCAATAGCTTTCAAAAAACAGAAAATAAACCTCTTTTAGATTACGTGTTCCAAATGAATCTACTTACTGTTTTCAAATGTGTTTGGGAAGTCATTCTTTGTTACTTTGATAAATAACATTTGGAAAATATGACAAGCAGATTTTAGTTTCTTGCCTCAGAAGTATTCTGCTAAAAGAAATAACAAAAATAACTAAGTAGAATTTGTTCCATTTACCTAATAAAATACTTTTTATTTAAAACATTGAAAGTGCTGCACAAATACCTATCATTATCGTTCACTAAAGAGAAAGCAATTTTAATTTGTAAATTACCGCACTCAATGCAAAAGCTACTTGAAAAACAAATCAGCACCAAAAAAAAAATTAATAATGGGAAAAGTGCCAAACATCTTTCATAAAACTCCTTAAAATGTCTTAAGAGTATATAATACAAAGTTATGGCTATTTCTGAAAAGTTTCAGCAATTATTTAGCTCCAAATTGGCACATCGCATTCTTCTTTTTTTTTAACCACAGCTCTTTTAAACAAAGGATCTAAAATTTTCTGAGAAAGCTTATTTTCCTTTTCTTGAATCAATTTTTTCTCATTCTCTCTCAATCATCCCAAGGTATTAAGACAAAGACCAACTACTCTTCACACATTATTTTCCAAATCATAAAGGTGGAACTTTCACAAAAACAAAGAAGATAACCTAGAACACTGTAATGTATAAAGTTAAAAAAAAAAAAAAAGTTCACTTCTGTCGTGACAATAGTGAAGAAATCTGATGAGATCATAAAGCCACGAAGCTTCCTGTTGGTAGCTGAGGATGAAGTCATTAGCAACCCAGGATTCCCTGGTCCTTGTAATCAGAAGCTGCACCTACCAGATTCTGCATTGTTCGGCAGAGGTGGCTTTAAAACACCCCGCTCCCGAATCGTCCAAAGCAGACCACGCCTTCCAGTTATCATTCAAATGGACCATTTCACAGTGTGGCACTACTACACATTTCCCGCGAGCTTAAATATCTTGTAAGAGTCAACATTTTAGATTCCCTTGGTCATGATGGAGCAAAGATGAACTCTTGAACCCCGCGCTACATAATGAACCAGGGTTTCAGAAGCCGAGATGGAGAAGCATGCTTCTGTTCTTCAACCTTTACGGCCTTCACTGACCAACCCCCTCCAATATCTTCCCAATTCTTAGTCACCCCAAGACACAGAAGGCAAAAAAAGATTCCTTACTTCCTGCTGTTGTTAAAAGGGGAGGAAACCCAAGAGTAACTTTGAACGCGTGGAAGAGAAATAGCTTAATCTTGGCCACCACTGCAAACATATGTCACCCAGCTCCGTCGCAGCTTTCGCGCCCCTCCAGGCCCCCTCCCGGGCCCCACGCCCCAGGGGTTCTCCCGCAGCCCAGCCCTCCCGGGTCCCCCCCAATGCCAGGGACGCGGCTCGGCGCCTCTTCCTCTCGCGCCTCCCCCACCCTCACATTGCCGGGGTCCCCAAGACCACATTGTCCGTTCTAGTACAATGGAATGTCACTGCCCGGAACTCCTCAGGGGCCCCCCGTTCCCCCCCGAAGCCAATCCCCGGTCTCCCTGGTCACCCAGTTCAGGCACGAACCCAAACTTCACCATGTGAGAGAGCCCAAGACCCGCGAGGTGACGGAGACCCACGACTCCCGCCTAGCCCTCTCTTTTACTCACAGTCCCCTACCAGCCCTAAGCGCCAATCCTGCACTGGGCGCCCCCACCCACCCTAAGACCACCTCCTAGGAGTCATCATCCGCCTCTCCCAGCGCGGGCAAGGGCGAGAAGAGTGGAGGGCTCCCCGCCCGGCCCGGACCCCTGGGCGGCGCTGCACAGGGGCGAAGGCCCCAAACGCATCCCCGGCCTTTCCTGGCCCACGACGACCCCGCCGCCCACCCTCCCTACCTGGCCTTGAGGCTGGGGCTGCTGCCGCTGCTGCAGCTGCTGCTGGCGGCGGCGGTGGCCGCCGCGGCTCGGGGTTCGTAGGCCCAGGCGGGGGCGGGGGGTGGTGCGGCGGCGCTGGCGGTGGCGGGGGCGGCGGGGGGCGCGGGCGGCGGCGGCGGGTCCGCGAAGCCGGAGGTCGCGTAGTTCCTGTCCATCGTGGGGGTTGCGTAGGGAGGGCGGGCTGCAGTGGGGGCTCCTCTAGGGCCCTGTGTATGGGGGGCGGGAGGGGAGGGAGGGGGCGGGGGGAGGAAGAGGAGGAGGAGGCGGCGGCGGAGGGAGCTGCCCCCTCACATGGCCCCGGCGGGCGGACGGGCGGAGGGCGCGCTGGCCGGTCTCTGCCGGGGGAACCCAGGCCGCGGCGCGCGGCGAGGCCCCAGCCGGACGTCAGGGAAGCGGCGGCATCCGCGGCCGGGACTCACGGCGGCGGCGGCGGCCGCTTCGCCCCATGTTGGTGGATTTCCCAGGATGCACCTCCCGCCCCCCTCCGCCCCGCGGCCTCGCCCCGCCTCCCCTCGGCGCCCCGCGCTCGCGGCTCGCGGGCCAAGCGAGCGGCCCGCGAGGCCTCCGCAGCCGCCGGCCGCCCCTCTCAGGCCAGCGGGGCGGAGAAGGCTCGAGGCCTGCCCGTCCAGCCGGCTCCGGGAGTCCTGAGCGGCGCCCGCCGGCGGTAGCCAACGGGCCGCGGACTTCCCGCCCTCGGCTGCTCCAAGGGGAGCTGTCCACGCTCGCCGCGCCCCGCGTGGGAAGGGGCCGCGCCTGCAGTCCGCCCTGCGCGCGGGAGGGGACATTGAGCGGAAACCCAGCCTAGGTGCTGCAAAGGGGGAGGTTTGTCAGCGCTTTGCCTGGAGTTCGTTATTTGACCCTTCGAGTTATTTTGAGTGTCTCAAATACTCAGTTCCCACATCGCGATTTCTTTCTCTGAGCCCAGTCCCAAACCAGAAACAGCTGAGCGGGCTGTTTCACAGTTCCCTTTACTCCCTTCCTGCACAAAGCTTGCTGTGCTAGAGGACCCTTTTCCTGTTGTTAGGGGAGATTTATATTCAAAGATATTCAAATTCAAACGTATTATTTTCCAATCCTCGTTGAAAGGACCTTTCCCAGGAGCTTTTATTAACTGTCCCCACCCCCACCTTGGGAATTTTCTCATTCTGGATTTCAGAATCTACTATCCGAAGGTAAATACTGCCTCTTCATTGATTAATCCAGCTACCATCTGGATGACTTTAATTACAAGACATTTAAACTCACTATGCACACTTTGTGTTGGAGTTTTTCGTTTGAGACTTGGGACTTAAGCAGGACTTTACCCAAACATTTCCCGTGTGACCTCCACGCAGTTTGGCGGGGGTTAATTTAGTAATTATTTTGAGGATCTTCTGTTGTCTATCAGAGCTGCGTTTCTTCTATAGTCATGAGTAGCGAAACTTAGGGTTCATGGAAATCATCGTTTGGTCCGTAAGGCATAAAGTAAAAGTTAAACAGTAAAGTTTATATTTACTGACCATCCCCCTTAAAAAAATCAATACTGGTTTAACAGCTATTATGTGCTTAGCACAGAAATCTGCCCCTCAAGATAAGCTTAAAAAGGTTTAAACAAACCAGACAGGCATAGTAGAAGACCTAATAAATTTGATACACTATCCCTGATCACCATTTTAAAAGCCAGTTTAAATTTCGGTAATACCTGATACTGAATCTGCTATTCCGTACGAGATTATTTTTGTTCTGGGAGATTGTTTTCCTCCTGGCGCCAACATCCTTTTGTTCCTATTCCTTCCTTTTTGTAAGTCTTTCGGCACCTGTGATGCTTAAGAGTCTGGTCCCGGGGTGGGGAAGCGAGGAAGTAAGTAGTCGTTATTTACAAATGAATTCAAAAGTGTAGACACAAGTGATCTTGCCAATTTTATGCTAATTTCAGTATGCATTTACCCTGGATATCTTTGAAAAGTAGTTTTCCTTGGGGAAGGAATTTGCCAGATAATTTGAGATCCTGCAGAGAGAAGTAACGTAAATCTCCCTTGCAAACTTTATTTTTCTTACGGCAGACTGGAAATCTGTAATCTAAATAAAAGAAAGAAGTTTTCACTACTAACTATTACACTTGTGAGTATTTTAGTGAGTACTAAAGTTTGGTCTTTACAGAAAGTGTAGAAAGTGGAGTGTCAGGCTATAAATGTTTTATGGCCCTTGGTTGGAGTTACCCACAACTGGTACTCAGAGTGAGTTATGCAGGCAATACCAAACAAGTGGCAATAAAGCCTTTATAGTCCCTCACACCATAATGTAGTTTATTTATGTCACATAAATCAGAAAAGATATTAAGGGAAATTTTGGGTATTTAAAAAATAATATTACTCTGTCACCATGTGCGATGTTCCTTTGCCTGCTATTTCTCTCTCAGTTCTAAAATTGGGGACAAGTTTTTGAAAATCGATGACATCAAAGGCAGTTTGATTGCAAGATGAATTGAAATCTTACACTTTAAGAAGGAGTCTTTCCTTGTCCCCACCTCCATCACTTCCTTCTGAGTTTATTACCCAGGAGTTAGTAATGCCTCAGAATATATCCATGAACCGTCTCCGCACATTACCCGGCTTTCCTCCCATCCCATTAGAAAATCACCAAGTATTTCAACTGGTAGGAAGCTTGGAGTTAGCTGAGTAGTTCATCACCCTTATTTTGTTGAGGAAATGGAAGCCCAGTGTTCAGCAACTTGCTTTAAGGTGATGGAGTCTATCAGTTGGAGGAGGAATCGGTGGAACCCCATCTCCACTGAGGCAACCTTATTTGTTTGTTGGGAATGGCAGAATTTGGGCTTGCCTGACTGGAAATGTAGTCAGTAAGTTCATATACTCCAGTGTTACAAAGAGACCAGCTATTAATTGGAAAGATTCAAGAAGGTCAAATTTGGGGGGATGTTGGGTTTTTAAAAATTATTTATTTATTTATTTATTTGAGAGAGAGAGAGAGAGAGAGAGAGAGCATGCAAGCACATGGGGCAGAGGCAGAGAGAGAGGAAGCAGACTCCCTGCTAAGTAGACACAGGGCTCTATCCCAGGACCCTGGGATCATGACCTGAGCTTAAGCCAGACACCTAAATGACTGAGCCACCCAAGTGACCCCAAGTTTGTGGTTTTACTGAGAATATCAGGACTATGTTTGTGGGAAGTGGGTTGAGGAGGGGAGGGGGCTTAGTTAGTTTTCCATGTTTCCTTTTTCTTCTGGCATTGAGGAGAACTATAAGCCCCGTCTTTGCCAGGGCAGCCCTGATTTCAGTCCCTCAAGTCAGCATCAGAAATTAAAACATCAGAAATGCAGTTAAGTCCCACTATGATTTTTCTCTGTCTCAGGGGCTTGACCCTATCACAGTCATCTTTTACCAGTCCCTGTTGCCTGTCATTCCACCCAGGGAAATAGCTATGGAGTCAGAAGAGCCTGCTTCTTTGGAAGCCACAGCCTCACTCAGGTGTCACTGAAAGACGGTGATGAGGCACATTCCTCCCAGTGAGCAGAACTTCAAGAAGCATACTTGATCATCAAATTTTGTATGTGTAGAAAGTGGTCTGAGCTATGGATGTGGATGGACTCAGGTTCTGGTGAATGACTTAGCTGATCAGGAGTCTGGAAGAAAGAAGGTTGAATGATTGGAGACCAGGAGTTCTGGAGATGAAGAAAGATAGTGGTGCATCCTGATTATGAAGTCTTTCATTGAGTGTATCTTTTATCTCCTTGAATAGATTACGGGAAATTTAAACCTCCTTCTGCAGATGATAGCTTTCTCATCAGAGTAACCAATAAATAGGGACACCTGCCTGGCTGAGTCGGTAGAGCATGCGACTCTTGATTTCAGGGTTGTGAGTTTGAGCCCCACACTGGGTATAGAGATTAGTTAAAAATAAAATCTTAGGGGTGCCTGGGTGGCTCAGTTGGTTAAGCTAAAGGTAGCTTTAGCTCAGGTCATGATCTCAGGGTCTTAGGATCGAGCCCCACATCATCTGGCTCTCTGATCATCCAGGAGTTGGCTTCTCCCTCTCACTCTGCCGTACCCCACCCCCGGCTCATTCTCTCTCTCTCCCTCTCTCAAATAAATAAATAGAATTAAAAATTTTTTTTTTAAATCTTTAGAAAAAAGAATAACCAATAAATATCGAATATATATGTCCTAGGTTCTGTGCTTTGGGCTTTCCATGGATTGTCTCATTTAATCCTCAAAATATCCTTAACATGCAGATAATGGCTTTTATTATTTCCATTTTATAGGAAATTGAGGTGTAGTGAAGTTAAGTCCCCAAAGCATGCAAGCCCCTACAAATTGATGATGGTGCAAGAGAAGACCAGCTGTGTTTGACTCCAAAACTCAATAAGGTTGGTTAAAGAGCTCCTACCAGGTTTCTCCACTGAAGAGTTAACTCTATTTTCCTTTATAATTAATGCATATTTTGTGGGTACTTTAAGACCATGTAAATTCCTGAGGCATCATTTTTTCACCACTGATTTTAGCATCTGTATTAGTTTCCTGTGGCTGCTGCAACAAATTACCGCAAACTAAGTGGCTTAAAACAACAGAAATTCATTGCCTCACAATTAGAAATCAGAAATCAAGATATCTACAGGGCTGTGTGCTCCTTGGAAAGCCTCCAGCTTCTGGCCGTTTTCCTTGATTTGTGGTCACAGCACTCTAATCTCTGCCTCAGTCTTTAGAAGGCCTTCACTGTACATCTGTCTTCTTTTAGGTTTTTGGGTTTTGTTTTTTTGGCTTTTTTTTTTTTTTTAAGTAATCACTACATCCAGTGTGGGGCTTGAAGTGTGCCCTGGAGAGCAAGAGTCTCATGCTTTTCTGATTGAGCTAGCCAGGCACCATTTCTCTTATGTCTTTTATAAAAGCACCTGTCGTTGGATTGGTGGCCCGGTTGGGTAATCCAGGATGATGTCATCTCAAGATCCTTAATTATATCTATAAAGATGCTTTTATCAAATAAGGTCACATTCACTGGTTCTGAGGATTAGGACATGGACACATTTTTGAGAGGCCACCCATCAACTCACTGAGGCATCCACTAATTATTCTTGTTTGAAACAACTGTTATTATGGTTACCAAATAATTTTCCTAACTCCATAATTCATTCCTTTTCTTTTTTTAAAGATTTTATTTATCTATTTGACAGACAGAAATCACAAGTAGGTAGAGAGGCAGGCAGAGAGAGAGAGGGGGAAGCAAGCTCCCCGCTGAGCAGAGAGCCCGACGTGGGGCTTGATCCCAGAACCCTGAGATCATGACCTGAGCTGAAGGCAGAGGCTCTAACCCACTGAGCCACCGAGGCGCCCCTCCATAATTCATTCCTTAATCATTAGTTTCTATTCTTCTACTGGAAGGAATTTTCCCCCTATCTATCTATCTATCTATCTATCTATCTATCTATCTATCTATTTCAGTACAGACTCATGATTTCTTACTTTAGTCAGTGGATTTGTGCAGTAAAGGATTAACAAAGCAGGTCCATGCTGTCCAAACACTGTACAGAGCAAAGAAAGATTTGGCCTTTGCCAGGCTCCAGAGCAATAACTTTTAAGCACTTGGAAAATCCTCCTAAGATTATCTTTGTTTAGGGACGTGTAGGTGGCTCAGTTGAGTTAAGTGGCTGCCTTTGGCTCAGGTCATGATCTCAGGGTTCTGGGATCTAGTCACACAGCGGGCTTCTTGCTCCATGGGGAGCCTGCTTCTTCCTCTGTCTGCTGCCTCTGCTTGTGCTTTCTCTTTCTCTCTCTGACAAATAAATAAAATCTTAAAAAAATAAAAAGTATCTTCATTTACCTGAGGCCTTGGGCTGTATAAGATATGCTAATGATGTGACTTACAGTGGGGTCTTCAGACCACACAGTATTAGTTTGACCTCTGGAGGGACTGGAAAATTAAGGTCAGCCACCAGGGCAGTCAGCCATGCTTATGTGACCTGCTCTCAATAAAAACCCTGTACACCAAGGCTCAGATGAGCTTCCCTGGTTGGCAATACTTTACTGATTAATGCGCACAGGACTCCACTGGGCAGGACACTGCAAACTTGTACCTGGTCTCCCTTATACCCTGCACTAGGTGTCTTTTGCCATTGCTGATTTTAATCTGTATCCCTTCACTATAATAAACTCTAACCATAAGTATAACAACTTCCCTAACTTCTGAGTTCTTGTAATAAATCATTGAACATGAGGGTGCTCTTGGTGAAGTCATAACCTGTTACCATATTTATTTATTTATTTATTATTTTTTAAAGTGTTTCAGTGTCTTTTTTTAAAATTTTTTATCTTTTTATTAACATATAATGTATTATTAGCCCCAGGGGTACAGGTCTGTGAATCATCAGGTTTACACACCTCACAGCTCTCACCATAGCACATACCTTTCCCAGGGTCTGTAACCCAACCACCCTATCCCTATCCCTCTACCCCCGCAACCCTCAGTTTGTTTTGTGAGATTAAGATGTTACCATATTTATTTAAAACACAGGATTTGTAATCTCTTTCCATACTTATTTATTTTTCATATGAAGATGGTCTTGGGGGTCCTTGAACACATGATTAGAATCTATTACCATATTTATTTTTATAGTCAAGTAATCACATATTTGGCGCAATACCCAAACATTTAATTACCTTAGTATACTTCCTCACATTAAGGACCCATGAGAACATTTTAAGCTGGGAATGACATGATCAAAACCATGCAAAACACTCACTTTCCCTTCCTAATGTCCCACTCTGGTCTACATCTTCAGGCTAGATGGGACACTGGTGTACCAACACAAGAAGCACAGTCCCTTCACAGATTTACATGCAAACACACACCCGCTACCACCACCACCACCACCACCAACAACAACAACAAGAAAAGAAAAAACATTTCACTACTTAGGACCATCCCACTATCCTCCTTATTGTCCTAGTTGTTTGCAAATACAATTTGAGGCACCTACTTTCCAGGGGTTTTGCTGCTGAAGGACTGAATTTCAACCAACAGTGGTAGAGCATGTATTCTCAAGTCTCCAGATTCTTCAGCTAGAGCCTAAGCATGAAACACTAAAACACACTCTGCCTGAGCAGAAAACCACCTGCAAAACTGCTTTATACACTCTCTCTTCTCTTGTTACTTCTCTGTTCCTTTTGTCCCAAAGCCCTAGATATAGTGGTGGTAAAGGAAGCTTATTGGGAGTGGTTTAGACGTCACCAAATCATCATGCCTGTTAATGTTAGTATATAGATACTAACCACTAGCCGTTCATTACTTGGTATCAGGTTTAATTTTGTCATATGGAATTTTTCAGTTACTTAAAATTCAGATATGGTAGGCTCATATATCTTGTGGAAGTCCAAAGCCTCTCCCAAATTTCTGCGAATTCTGAGGAAACTTACAATCTCTTGCTCAACATGTCTTCAAGTTTCTTCTGCTTCCACTGACTGACTGCTCTGTTCAAGGTAAAAACTGAAAAAGTCTCTTCATGGTTACACTAGCACGTATGTGCACACACATGAATCCACTCATGGGAACATTTATGAAAGAAACAAAGTAAGAACTGGATTATTCATGATACCAATTTTACATTTCTGTTATTTATGTGTATGTACTCATTTTTCCACTGCTCACGTAATATGGCTGCTTGCTTACAACTTCAAAAACTCAGAGGAAGCATTGCTTATGACATGTTGTAGCAGACCCCTCTGGTGCCCACGTTGCATGTCCTGGTTCACTTCTGAGACAATTCTGACCTACCTAATGATCACAGCATCCTATCCCAAGACTACGTCATGTGTCTTTCTGAATTCTGCTTTGTATGACACCACTGGAGCTCTCTGGAGTGTAGAGAAGTTTGCACCTCCCCATTAGGAGAAACCCTTACTCAATAAAGAACGGAAGCCAATGGATAAGTCAACCTCCTGGCTTCCAGGTGGGCTCCATGGGAGGCATTTTGTGCCCTTCTCAGTGGTCTCATGGAAGGGAAGTTCTTGTTAACTAGTAACAGCAACTTTGATAATAAGGCCCTTTGGCTTGTTCTTCAGTCCAGTCTCTCTCTCTGCTCTGTCATTCTTCCTGCCTTCCGATTAACTACCTGCATTCAAATCATTGTCTCAGGTTCTGCTTTTGGGGAAACATGTCTTATACTACTATTTGATATAACTACTTAATGTTAGTGCTTTCAATTTTGATGTATGTCTTTTCATAAGTATCTGTCCCCAAGTCAAAGTAGTTATTGAATCTTCTCCTGTCAGGCTTGGGGACAAGGCAGAGTGAAGGAGTGTTGCAAAAAGTGCTAAAAGCTACATTCTAAAAGCATCTTCAGGTCAGAACTGGGACAAATAATCCCAAAGAGGTTATCAATATAAAGTTTGAAACAAGTGAGCTTAGGTCCTTTTTAAAAAACACTATAGTTCTTCCAGACAAAAGCTTATATGCCCCCTTTGTATATATTACTGATAAAAGTGGAATCCTGAGTCTTGCTGGCCCTCTATCT